ATAGTAATATTGTGTACGGATGTGCCTAGCGTGTTAATTACAACTGATGTATCGATTCGGCGGACGACATCGTCGTTCTGATATTAGGTAAATAAAACGTATGTATGTTGTTTGGTTTGTACCGACCGTGTCCACTGTGTCAGTTCACTCCAAGAGCATGGTGAGGCGCTCACCTCGTCCAGACCCCACAATGTGGGTTCGATATATCAGTGTTTGACTGTATTTTAAGACCCGACGTCAACGATGACTAATACACTGTATGCAGCTGACGAAACTGAATGGTGCTAGCGTTGTCGCCTCATAAAAGAAAGCGCAGGCTGCATCCATGTGCTGGGAAAGGTGTGGTTTTTGAAAAAGAGTAGGCCCTTATGTCACATGCACAGGGTGGCCCACATTTAGAAGTGTGATTCCAGAATTGGCAACCAATTCTAATATTTTCACTGGTATAGCGCACCACGACAAGGACACACACAAAAGATAGGTGCACACACACAGCGCTATTCTAATACTTGTTTTCTAAAAGACTAAATGACTTGGAGTCGTTAGTATAATTTGGCACATGCCACCACGGTACCTACGAAAACACATGTTCAAAGTTTTATTGAAATCGATGAATATCGAAACAAATGTCACAGTTCCCCTTTAAGCAGAAAATAACATTTACCTCCAACAGTGCATTCTCAAAATATTCAAGATTGCTACACAATATACATCACTCTATGACTTCTTTCACATAGCCCACACAACAAATTAATTTTAAAGATATTGTTATCGAAAAGAAGAGACGCCGTAACAACGAGGCTGGGGATTAGATGTATTCAAAACCAGCGGTAATGGCGTGCCTGGTTCACCAGCGATCGAGCGGAGACAACTCTTCGTCTTCCCCGTCAGGCACACACGCGCGTCGCCCCCTAGAATATCAATATACATGCATGTAGCATAAACCCCGGCGGCGCAAGCGCCGTCTCGGCACATTTAGATGTCAATGTCACTAGGAGAGTTGTAGGGCTTCAAGCGCACAACATGTAAATATCGGTAGCCTGTTGGGCACATGAAGGCAACGGGGTGGCAGGACCGATTTCATGTTACAGGCGTAACCACACGAAGGACTCGGTATGGGCCTGTGTAGCAAGTAAGCAGTTTTTCTGACAAGCCAACTTGACGGGTCGGAGACCAGAGGAGTACCAAAGAACTGGGTGGACAGTGTACTGTCGCGGTGTCGTTGGTCATACAAGCGCCAGTTGCTTCTCTTGAGAGGTCAGAAGGCGAGTACGGGTGATTTCGCGAGCGTGAGCGGCTCGAATGATAGCGTACATGGCATATTCACTGGTCGGTACTCCAGGGGACGGTATGTGTCTAGAGGCAATGTTGGTTCTCAGCCAAACAGCAGAAAAAATGGAGAGTAACCGGCAGTGTCATGGCGCGAAGAATTGTAGGCAAATGTGACGTGCGGCAACGCGAGATCCCAGTCAGTGTGGTTGGTAGAAACATACTTAGCGAGCATGTCTAAGAGTTCGATTTAGGCGCTCCATGAGTCCATTGGTTTGCGGGTGGTATGACGTAGTCAGCTTGTGTTTCGTTTTACAGGACTGCAAGATGTCGGCTATGACCGACAAAAAGATGCGGCCACTGTCTATAAGCAGCTGCCGTGGGGCTCCGTGCTGCAAAATCACGTCCTTGAGGATGAAGTCGGCGACATCTGTGGCGCAGCTTGTTGGGAGAGCTCGTGTGATGGCATAACGCGTGGCGTAGTCGGTGGCCACGGCTATCCACTTGTTACCCGAGGAAGACAAGAGAAAAGGGCCAAGTAGGTCCAAGCCAACGCGGAAGAAAGGTTCTGACGGAATATCAAGTGGTTGAAGACGTCCGGCAGGAAGTGTCGATGGCGTTCTGCGGCGCTGACATTTTTCACAAGCCGCAACGTATTTTCTGACTGAGCGTGCAGGCTCTGGCCAGTAGAAGCGTCAGCGTATTCGGTCATAAGTGTGTGACACACCAAGGTGACCAGCAGTTGGAAGGTCATGAAGTTCATGTAGAACTTCCGAGCGAAGGTGTTTCGGAATGATAAGCAGCAGAGCCGGTCCATCCTGCTCAAAACTTTGGCGGTATAATACACTATCGTGGAGCACGAATGAGCGATCGGACTGACTGGAAGATGGTGATTCGAGGCGCTCAATGATAGCACGCAAGGACGCACCATAGCAGCTGCTCGTCACCGATGCATGTCATTTGCGAAAGGGAAAAGACGCAAGGCTCGGTGTCGGTGTCATGCATAGTGCTCGACTCAGCGACCGGGTAGCACAACAGGCAGTCTGCGTCCTGATGTAGGCATCCGGACATTGTACGTCACCGTAAAGGTATACTCTTGGAGTCGCAGAGCCCAGCGCCCGAGCCGCCCAGTAGGATCCTTCAGTGACGTAAGCCAACATAGCGCATGATGGTCAGTTATCACAGAGAAATTAGTGCCATATAAATATGGGCGGAACTTTGAGACTGCCCAAGCAAGAGCAAGACATTCACGCTCCGTAATAGAATAGTTGCGCTCAGCAGCTGTGAGGAGGCGGCTAGCGTAGGCGACAACTCGGTCGTCTTCCCGTTGGCGCTGGGCTAACACGGCTCCGATTCTGTGACCACTAGCATCGGTTCGAACTTCCGTCGGAGCGAATGGGTCAAAGTGAGCCAATATGGGTGGAGTCGTCAGTAGCGTGATTAGGTGAGAAAAAGCAGCAGCTTGGTCGGTACCCCACGTAAATGTGACGTCTTTCTTAAGAAGCTCTGTGAGGGGTCGAGCGATGGTTGCGAAATCTTTCACAAACCTTCTAAAATAGGAGCAAAGCCCTACAAAACTCCGGACATCTTTGGCTGACTGGGGTACAGGAAAACTGGTGACTGCACGAATTTTCTCGGAGTCCAGCTGCACACCAGAGGCGTCGACAAGGTGGCCCAACACTGTAATTTGCCGGCGTCCGAAGCGGCACTTCGACGAGTTCAATTGGAGGCCTGCAGTGCGGAATATGTCGAGAATAGCTGACAAACGCTAAAGGTGAGTCTCAAATGTTGGGGAATATACAGCGACATCGTCAAGATAACAAAGACATGTTGACCATTTGAACCCTTGTAGCAGAGAGTCCATCATGCGCTTGAACGTGGCTGGGGCGTTGCATAGCCCAAATGGCATAACCTTGAACTGATATAGGCCGTCTGGAGTTACAAATGCAGTCTTCTCTTGGTTTTTTTCGTCGACAGCAATCTGCCAGTAGCCGGAACGTAGGTCTATTGTGGAAAAGTATCGGGCGCCGTGGAGACAATCGAGAGCGTCATCGATGCGGGGTAAAGGGTAAACGTCCTTTTTCGTGATTCTATTCAAATGACGGTAATCCACGCAGAAGCGCCACGTGCCATCTTTGCCAACGAGCAGTGGAGCGGCTACTGGAGATGTCAGAAGAAGGGTACACACGACTGGGCGAATACCGACGAAAGTCCTCGTATGGTCGATTAGAGGAAAATTGGCTCCAGTTTGAGGGCGTCCAAGTGCTGCGGCAGTAGCGGGAGATATGGCCAACTCAGTGGCAGCGGAAGCAGATCGGCTTGTCGTCTGCAGTTCTCCATTCCGCCGGATTGCGGGATCGCGGAATAAAGTGTAAGTCATGGCGTGATGCATTTGTTGTCATTGGTCTGGAGACGGGTCGGGAGACAGAGCAGGCCACAGGAAAACCAAGCTTTGCAATTTCCTGCCTCACGACGGCTTGAATAACGGAGACCGGCGGAGGCGTTTGTGCGGCGCCATGGTCGAGAGGATGTGGAGGAAATGGTGCCGGACTTGACGCCTCAAGCTCCCGTCGAACTATTGCTGTCAAGCTGTCATGCATGGGTGGTGCGGCACCTGAGATCGGTGCAAGTGGATGTAACAGCCGTGTTTGGTAGCCGCGTAAATTGAGGCAGAACACGGCGGCTTTAGGCCATTTCGAAGCGACGGCATTCCTGATAGTCATATCTACGGTCGTGACGTTATTGTAGACGAGCAAATTGAAGGCGTCGTCCGCGATGCCCTTAAGTATGTGGCCCACCTTGTCACTCTCTGTCATTTGCTCGTCGACTTTTCGGCACAACGCGAGCACATCCTGTATGTACGAGACATACGACTCTGTTGACGACTGCACACGAGTGGCGAGTTCTTTTCGCGCTTCCATTTGGCGACCGGATGGGTCCCCAAAGATGTCGCGTAGTCGCTCCTTGAATCCCAGCTGGTGAGCTCGGTCTCATGAGCGTCGAACCAGACCCGTGGGGGTGCCGTCCAAGTAAAATATTGCGTTGGCGAGCATCATGGTAGGGTCCCATCGATGTGTGTGGCTAACACGCTCGTACATACGGAGCCAGTAGTCGACGTCGAGCCCAGGTTGTGCGGAGAATGTACCTGGATCACGGGGGGTGGGCATCGTCAGGTATGTAGTGGCTGGAGCTACAGATGGAGACGCTGACAGGCTGTTGTCATTGGTAGCCATGGCCGGAGACTGAATGGTGCGGCCACTGCGAAGCTTCGTGGTGAAGACGGGGAACATTCCACCTCCACCAAATATGTTAAGGGAAAGAAGAGACGTCGTAACGACGAGGCTGGTGATTAGATATATTCAAAACCAGCAGTAATGGCGTGCCCAGTTCACCAGCGATCGAGCGGAGACAACTCTTCGTCTTCCTCGTCAGGCACACACGCGCGTCGCCCCTTAGAATATCAATATACATGCATGTAGCAATATTTTGTGCTATGCTTCCAAGGTTTCATGCCCTTACTCTGCTTTACCGACGAATATGATCTAAGATGAAAACGTTGCTATCTGTTTCGCAAATGCTATGCAGAATCTGAAAAAGGAATTTCATGGGTTCGTTCTTTCCTCCACTGTAAGAATGCAGTGCAAAGAAAAATACATTTCCCTTCCCTTTATTAATGGCCCTCTGTGGTATATAAAATGGTATGTGAATCCAAGCTGAAACTAGGCACTTGCCCTGAGGTCATCGCGTGTGTAGACAGCCAGTTCGGTAGTTACAGCTTGCAATGGGTCAGCACATTCATTTGCCGTTCGGACGAGGAGTGGCCCAATGTTGACCTGCTTGGTGGATTTCCGACTGCGCACCATGTTGGCTTCTTTCTTGGCAAAATGTACTGCAAGAGAATAACATGTAGCAATCGTTTTTTCAGAAACAAGAATTACTTGTACCAATCATTATGGCAAACAGGATGCCTTCAGTGTCCCCGCAAGATGTTATGCTCAACCACACAACCAACTGCTCCATTCAACAGCACAAATCTTGGCATGACAAATAATTACAAGCAGGGTCCCAACCACTTAGATATAGCGGAATAAGGCCCGAGACAAGCCAAGTATTTAGGAACCTGCTGTCAGAATTAGTCACTTATACACGACTGCATGCCAGAATGTTATGGGATTTAAGGGCTTGTTAGCAAGTATGGGAATTGTAGACGAACAGCTATGGTGCATAGATTACTTGGTAGCAATTTAATACACATGTCTACTCAACCTAGCACACGTTCATGGCCAGACTGAAGTCACGAGCATCTGCAAGGAGAGGACTGTTGTGCAACGTCACTGACCATGACAAGTGACACTGGTTCATCATCCAATGCAGAGTGTGGAATTCCACCACTGCAAGAGTGCTGAGAAGAGAAATAGAAGTAGTGAGACAGAAAAAAAAAGAGGGGGGGTCGAGGGCTGGTCATGTTGACATAACATGTTCTCTCCCCCTCTCCTTCAGTGCTTGAGAAAATGCACGAGAGCTATGCCAATGCTAGCTGCAGGCAATGAGGTGAAGGTCTGCTCTGGCAGTTAAGCTCACCTGGTAGAGGCTTGGTAACAAACAGTACAATTTCTTCAAACACGTCCAATAAAAAACTCAGCTCAGTCTTCACATAAAACTATCTCACCCTTCACCTGACCTTCTAAATTTGGTGTCAGTGCTCTTTTCATTCCGCTTTTACATGTTCAACAGAGCAGTGGTCGTGAGAATCGAGCGTGCCCTCCCCTTTGGCGTTTCGATCCCCAGCTAGCACAATGACAAATATAACGTGATAGACACCATATTTCTTTTCTCGCGCTTTTACCAGCAGACAATTACTCGGCAGCTGCTCGCGAGTCCATGGCCGCGACACACAAGTTGAAAGTTTTGTGTTTGGTGACATTGCTGTCCCGTTTCCTGTTCGAAAAGTCTTCTTGATGCGAACCGTGCAGAAGCGCATTGCAGTTCTGTGCGCTGGCACGGTTGAAAGTCGGACACACAAAATGGTGATAGTTGCACTCAGTGGCTTGTGGTATTTGGAGCTCTCTCTCATATCAATACTGGAACTGGTTAGTAATGAGGAGGCTGCTACTGATCATTTGTCGCATGTGGCAGCAAACGATGTGCCGTGTTACGACCAACAGGCCCCCAGCAATACACTGTAGCAAAAAAAAAAAAAAAAAGCAAGGCCAAGATTCTTGAGTGAGTATCCCTGTAAGTTAGTGAAATATCAGGGTTACTGATTATATTTTAAAATTCTGAGAGTGACACCATGACCAGAAAAAGAGGGAGAATTCAGATTCCATGATGATGCAAGCTTTCATTTCAATGGTATTATGAGTATGAAGATGTTTGCCATAATCATTCCAGTTTAAAGTTTAGGTAAGATATATAAACATAAAATGTTACATTTTGCAAAACGTATTCTAAAGAAACGCTTATCCCATATAGTTTCATATAATAACCTAGAGAGAAAACTGGCACTGCAATCATAGTACCACCATGGGAATGATGGTAAGTACAGGTGTTGTATTGGATAGCCTAAGCTAGCGAATTGTCTATGAATATTAGTGTATTTTTTTCAGTTTGTTTTATTCTTCACATAGCCTGGGTAGTGGGATGTGGTGTGAAATGCCATGCCGAATCATCCAGCACTTTTCCGACCATCACGAATATGGCTGAAAAAATTTCCACATGTTTCTCGAAGTGCGAAACTTGCCCTGGTTATTTAATTCCATTGCGAAAAATTTTCGTGCCAATTTATGGAAGTCTGCAGCTTGATGCCAGCTGAGCTGTAGGGCCTAAAACAACAATACTTTTTAAAGGACGTTTTTGGAACTGCACTCAAATGGTATTTGCGGTAAGGTAATGAAGTGACCTAACAGTAAAAATAATGACCTACTAATATCAATTCTTCGAGGGCTTTTCCACGAGCAATACTGAATAATTTTGCCAAATTTGGGATTTTTTTCCGAGAACATGGCAAGCTCAAAGGATACAAATAAAGTAAGTGCTGGTGGCCTGTTTGACATGCTACAAATTAAAAGTAATTTAGGCACTTAACGTTGTAGCACACAGTCTAAAAAATTGTAAAGGAAAAAGCCCTGTATTCAGCCTCAAAAATTTTGCCTTCAGGACTAAAGATATGCACCTATCTCATTTGAAAGCTCTATATATTAGCTAAAAATAGGTGAAGCTACTAGAAGGGTACTATTTTTTAAACTTGAGAAATATTTTTTTTAATTTATGTATCTGCATCATCTTTTCGCCTATGTAACTCAAGCGACATAATGAACTTCCAAGCGCAATTTTCAGCACAAACCCACTGACGATACAGACTGCAAACTTGGTGCTCTCGACTGAGCAGTCGAATTTGGAATGGGATTATCATCTATGTTTCATTGTCAACAGAAGTGCACTACAAGGAATGGGATCAGTGTGGTGACTTCAGATGATCCATACAACTTTGGAGATTTAAAGTCACAAATTATACTTTCTTGGGGAATTCTGCAAATGAAGAAGGTGTCTTTTATACACCTAATAAAAATATTTAGTCATACTCAGTACATGTCTTATAGCACACTAGTAGCATTGATGCAGTACACTGATAAGTGCTATCGTAATAATAATGCTTCAAATTTTTTCAAGCTTTCAGGAGAGCACCCTGCTCTTTGAGACTTAAAGCCTGTCATATGACTACACAAGTGAAAAAAACTTTATATGCTACGAGCCTACTGTCTCGTTAATGTTGTGTGCAACATATTATTATTGTATACTGTATACTTTTTAACGACTTGGTAGCTAAACTGGGAGTCATCATCAACAGTGTATCCAGGAAGGAAGGAGGAGCTGCTTAAGTTCCCCCCCCCCCCCCACGCAGTCCAGGTATTTTTAAGTTGTGAATGTGTATACATACGAGCACACACACAAACACAGATACAAACATAAGTATCACTGAAATCACCTTCCCCTTTACACACCAGCCCTCCCCCCCCCCCCCCCCCCCAAAAAAAAACAATTTTTTTTCCTATGCTACTGGTCTCTACTCTCTGGCCACATTCATTGTAGTGCCCCTCTGTTGACAATGGAACGTAGAAGATAACCCAATTCCCATTTTGACTGCTCTGTAGATAACACTGAGTTTGTTGTCTGTAGCGCAGGTCAGTGGGATTCTGCTCAATATTGCCATTGCGAGTGCGTCATGCCGCTTGAGTTTTGTAAGCGAAGAGCTAGCTGGTAGAGATACATAATTTTAAAAAATATTTCTTGAGTTTAAAAAATAATACCCTCCAGTAACTTCATTTATTTTAGCTAATACACGCGGCTTTCAAATTAGATATTGTTCATATCTTTAGTCTGACCAAGAGGGTGAATTTTTTTATGCTGAATTGAAAGCTTTTACCCCAAAGAAGTGACATTCGCATTTTTTTCAGACTACCTGCTATATCTTCAGCCCCTAAATTATTTTTAATTTGTAGCATGTCAAACAGGCCACCAGCGCATATTTTATTTGTGTCATTTGAGCTAGCCATGTTCCTGAAAAAAAAAAACCAAATTTGGCAACTTTATCCAATATTGCTCGTGAGAAAAGCCCTCAAAAATCAATATACGTAATTAAGTCATTATTTTTACAGTTAGATCACTTCATTGCCTGGCTGCTAGAACCATTTTATCGAGTGAATTCCAAAAACTTGTTTTGAAAAAAAAAATTGTTCAAGGCCCTCTAGCACATTTGGCACTAAACTACGGACTTTCATAAATAGGCAGTAAAATTGTTGGCAACGAAAATAAACGAATATATGGAAATTTTTTCAGTCATATCCATGATGGTCGGAAAAACGCTGGATGATTTGGCATGGATTTACCCACCTGGCATCACATCAAATATTACGTTAAGTGTTCCTCGCTAAATACAGTACTGTCCTTTCTATACAAAGAATAATATATACTTTCGAATGAAAAACAAGCCTGCTTACTTTCAAGTGTTGTAAAAAATAATTCAGTATATCCTAATGCCAAACCTGGAACACACAATGGCAGAGCAATGCATATTTTGGTGAGTGAATTTGTCGAGGTTTCTTTTCCATATCACGGTCACAGAAACTTTGTGCAACAAGTTTTACATACAAAAGAACGAAGCAAGTTTCAATTGGAAACAACTTCATATCACTTTGTTTCACACTTGGCAAACAAGCGTTGCGAATCTCAACAACGTAATTGATCAGAAGCAGATCCAAAGCCCGTCCTTTCCATCAATCCCGTGGGGGTCCAAGCACCACTTAAAAAGGCCGCACAGACACTAGCCCCAGATTCCACTCTATGTATCATACGACGAAACTCTATGGCTTATACAGAAAGCATTAGCTCCTTTATTTCTAACGTTGTGCAGTGCCTTTCTGCAAAAGAAAAAGCCTACTACCACTGGAGTTCACCAAAATAACTGCCATGAAATATGCAACGATGAGCGTTGCAGTTCACATTTGGAAAAGGCCCATAACTAGGGCTCTGTTTTTTTGAATAAGTCTGAAGAAATAATAAAAATAGATAATGCTAGAAAAATTTTTGACCATTCGGATTTATCTGATCAACTCAAATTTAAAAGCACACATTTAATGTTCAAAGGGCATTTTCAAAGCAGAGATTCGTCAATTCAACAATCGAGATTCATCAATTGAATGGAGCAAACATCCATAATTGGCAGCAATCTCGCAAGGTATGCTTGTGTCTACTACAAGCTTTAAGGTTGTAACAAGAGCTAACATAAGTGTTTTATATTGCAGTACCAATTGTGCTTGTGCACGTGTGTGTTAGTGTGTTGAGACATTGCAGACATCTAAAACACACTTAATTTGCTTGCACGTTTTCATGCTCCAATCAAATTTCAATTAAGATATTGCAGTATTGAGAATATTATTATTAACAGGTCCTTTATTTTTCATCGAGATGACGAGGACAAGCAGCTTGCCTAGCTCCTGCCCCCCAAAAATAAACTTTGGCGAGTTGACAGCAGTGCACATCAACAGTTTTATTCCGAGGATAAGTAACGTTAAGTGGGGAAAAAAAGATGAAAGAATGAAAAAACAAGTTTATCGGCAACAATGCAGGGCGTTTTCACTGAAAACGATATTAAGAACATACTGTGCAACTTATAATGCAAAATTAAACACTTAATTTCAGAAAATTGGGTATCTACGTGCAACAAACGCCCAATTTCTCTTAAAAAATAAATAAACCTCAGAGAACACCCTTCTAATTTCAAGAAAGGTAAACTCTAAAAACACGAAGCCTTAGCCATAACCGCAGCTGAGCAGCGGACTCAAAATTGTACCAACACGAGCCGAAGAGCAGACCTACTTAGACTGGACAGAACAGTGCCAAAAGTATTTTCTATTGCGATGTGTAGCGCTAGGTAGGTCCGACAAGACAACACGAGCCCCTAGAGGCGATAGATCCTTTGTAATAATTATTAGAAAGAAAAAAAAGCAGAAATATGACAGATACAAAATGCCACCGACATGCGAGTAGCCTAGATATTTGCACTTGTTCCTGTTTTAGCGTTCAAGCTATGCAATCGAAAAACAGTACTCTGCTCGACTTCAAGATCCCAGTACCAGGGTAAACAAACATGCTAATAAATTACCAGTGAGAAAATGATTACCTTCACAGTGATCGTATGAAACAGCGCAACTCGGCTTGTTATCCTCAACTGCTTAACAAGGGCAGAGGCCCAGTTACCACAAATGATTTGAGGGGTTTAACGTCCCAAAACCACTATTTGATTAGGAGAGACGCCGTAGTCGAGGGCTCCGGAAATTTTGACTACCTGGGGTTCTTTAACGTGCACCCAAATCTGAGTACACGGGCCTACAACATTTCCGCCTCCATCGGAAATGCAGCCGCCACAGCCGGGACTTGATCCCGCGACCTGCAGGTCACCAGCCGAGTACCTTAGCCATTAGACCACCATGGCGGGGCCCAGTTACCATAATAGAAGCAAAGTACTACATCGGCGACCGGGAGTAAACAACGGGTTGTTTCAACTTGGTGACAAAATGATCTAGGACACCAGCAGGCATGCCACAAGTGAAAGTCCTTCACGACAATAAAGCCAAGTAGAAACAAAGGTCAAAGAAAAGAAACGGGAGCAACGTACTTCCTTTGAGCAAATATCCCTTCAACGCAGCGCACGAAGCATCTACACTCGCGCGGGAAAACGAAATGATGTGAGGAAGCGGCCATGTCGTGATGACTATGGCGATAAGTCTTCTTAGTAATGAAGTCAATGAGGGTGGCGATTTGGGCTTGTTGGTATGGTTGCATGATGATGGATGGTAGCGCAGACAACGAACACGGACAAGAGAAGTGTGTTGTGTCTATGTGCCTTCTCTTGTCCGTGTTCGTTGTCTGCGCTACCATCCATCATCATGCTTCTTAGTAAGTTACTAAAACCATGCTCCCCGAAACACCTTTTTTTTTTTTTTTAATCCAGCGCACTAATCCACAATCCAGCGATCAAGGTACTGCACTATAAAGAAAAATCAACAACTCGATCCTTCCTTTCTACGTGGTGTTTAGTGACCACGACGATAGTTATAGCGCGAGAACAAAACGACGACACAGAGACAAGAAGGACACGAAGGACACGAGCGCCAACTTCCAACTAAGTTTATTGCGGCACAAAGAGCAAAACATGAGTAAAAAAAATAAAAACAAAAACAGAAGCACAAAAAAGGCAAAGATACGTATATAAGGAAAAGAAACAGAAAAGTAAAGATAATATAACTACTTGCGCGCACCGAAGCCTTCGAGGAACCATAGTTCCTTCTCGGACAGAGACACGGAGAGCTTGATAATGCAGGACACCTGCATGTTCGCGTGCCATCTGCACGGCCTCGACAATGACACGGGGCGCTTATCTTTGCGCTTGTACAGCGTCGCTGTGTCCTTGAAAAGGGGCACATAGTTGCAATTTGTGCAGTGCTGAGCAAGAAAACCATCTTTCCCGTTTCTAAAATTGTTGGCGTGTTTTCTCAGTCGATCGTTCAGACACCTTCGGTCGTTCCGACATAACAAGCACCGCATGAAAGGGGGTCCTACTCACCTTTTCATAAACGCCTCCCTGGGCGCCGCCATAGCGCTCCTTGGGCTGTGCAAATTGGCGCGTCCCCTCGAAAATGCACTGGAAACGGTGCGTCCTTGGCCTTTGTACTCCCGCGCACAGCCCATCATGTTGATGTTTTTTTTTTCCTTCCTGTGAAAAGGTGTATAGACAACTCCCCGGGAGCATGCCGCATACCTGTTTCTATGTTGAACTCTGCACTCCGTTGATGACAGCGTTTTCAGGGGGTTTGTAGATTTGGTGAGGCTGATTAATTTGAACGGTGCCGAGAACAGGACACGAACTCCAACTCGTTTTCCGATTTTCTTGAGCCTGTGTGATATCTGGTGTTTGTATGTAATCACGTACGGCTATCTTTTCACGCTCTGTATCCGTGTTGCTCGGATTCTGTCGCTGCCTCTGCTCTGCCTTATTTGTCCGCAGGATAGTCTCAGCAACGGAAGCGATAAACGCCTCGGGGAAACCCGAAGCCTTGAGCCGGGAAACTTGAGCTTTGAAGCTCGCAGAGAAATTGTGGGCGCACGACCTATTTAAGGCATTCTCAAGACAGGTTCGTGCTATGCCTCGCTTAACTAACTTGCCGTGAGCGGAAGAAAGGGAAGTAAAGCTTTCTGCGCACGTGGTTCATAACACCAACAGATGTGCTGTGAGCTGAAAAACAGTCTTACATCCAAAAAGTGCAACTTGTCATTCGCGGGCATTTCATGTGTCAACACAAGAGGCTTTAAACAATCTTCAAACACACCTATCGTTTGAGTCGCAATCGAGTGGAACATGTAAGGGTTACAATTTAGAAGAACCAAGAAATCAACCACGTATCTGCATAGTTTGACGACATGCGAGCCTCCTAACTTTTTCTGCAGTTTTTTGCCCATTTTTGCCAATAGAAGATCACTGAATAGAGGTGCTATGCATGAGCCGATTGAAACACTCTTTTTCTGCAAATAAATGCAATCATTCCATTGAACGAAAGTAGAGGTAAGGTACAGCAAAACCAGGTCAAGAAAATCTTACGCACTGATGCCAGTTTTGATTTGGAAGTTCAATTCCCCGAAGATTTCTATGTTATCCCTTATACATTCTAATACCTTATCGTGATGCAGGGAGTAGTATAGGTCCTTTTTGTCAATTGAAAAACCGAATGGTTAGATTGATTTGACTGTTTGAAAAATTCTATCAGTGCCTGCGAGTTTTTGATCAAAAATGGGTCATCAATCTTTAGACACTTTAGATGGGTCTGAATAAACAAGCCGAGTTGCTTTTGCCACGTACCACTTTCTGTCACAATGACACGGAAGGCCATATCAAACTTATGTGTTTTAGCAGGAAAAACATGCTGAGCCCATTTTTGTCACTTTTGCTAATATGTTGTGCTAACTGATTCGACTCTAGTTTATGACACAGTTCCTTGGCCTGCGTTTTTATTCTATCTAGACGAATGTCGGTACATTTGAAAACAGAGCCAATAGCTCCGACCGCCTTTTCTAGGTACAAGCAATTAGGAAGAACGGCGAAACCACCCTCCTTATCTGACGGCACGACACAAAGTTCATTGTCTCTCAGAAACTTGGTCGTCTTCCGCACCGGAAGGCTGTTGCTGGTAGACTTACCCAGTAAGAGCACGTCGACGCCTTCTGAGATGCATCTGTCCCAATCCTCTGGTGAAGCGCGGTCAGAAACAGAGCGCACTATTGAAAGAAGCTCGGGTGTGGACCTCTCTTGGTCGACGCCGAACTTCGGACCTATGACGAGGGTGTTGTAGACGTAGTCTAGGAGGGCGACGTCACTGCATGAGTGGACCACACCTGATTGCCGTGAGCTCACTAGCCTTTGTGAATCACGTGAGCTCAGTAGCTTTCGTGCGCAGTGCCCAACCAAGCCCCGGCAATCAGGTGTGGTCCACTGATGCAGTGATGTCGTCCTCCCAGACTACGTCCGCAACACCCTCGTCCTAGGTCCGAAGTTCGCCGTCGACCGAGAGAGGTTCGCACCCGAGCTTCTTTCAACGGGGTGCTCTGTAGCTGGCCGCACCACACCAGAAGATTCGGACAGATGCATTTCAGAAGGCGTCGACATGCTCCTACGGGGTAAGCCTACCAGCACCAGCCTTCCGGTGCGGAAAATGACCAAGTTTCTGAGAGACAGTGAACTTTGTGTCGTACTGTCAAATAAGGAGGGTGATTTCACCGTTATTCCTATCTGCTTGTACCTAGAAATGGGGGTCACTGCTATTGGCTGTGTTTTCAACTGTTGTACAGACATTCGTTTAGATAGAGTAAATACGCCAGCCAAGGAAATGTGTCGTAAACTAGAATTGAAACAGTTAGCACAGAATATTAGCAAAAGTGACAAAAATGGGCTCGGCATGCTTTTTCTGCTAAAACACATAAGGTTGATATGGTCTTCCGTGTCATTGTGACAGAAAGTGGTACGTGGCAAAAGCAATCTCGGCTTGTTTATTCAGACCCATCTAAAGTGTCTAAAGATTGATGACCCATTTTTGATCAAAAACTCGCAGGCACTGATAGAAGTTTTCAAACAGTCAAATCAGTCTAATCTTTTCGGTTTTTCAATTGACGAAAAGGACCTATACTACTCCCTGCCTCACGATGAAGTATTAGAATGCATAAGAGATAACATAAAAATCTTCGGGGAATTGAACTTCCAAATCAAAACTGGCATCAGTGCGTGAGATTTTTTTGATCTGATTTTGCTGTACCTTACCTCTACTTTCGTTCAATGGAATGATTGCATTTATCTGCAGAAAAAGAGTGTTTCAATCGGCTCATGCATAGCACCTCTATTCAGTGATCTTCTATTGGCAAAAATGGGCAAAAACTGCAGAAAAAGGTTAGGAGGCTCGCATGTCGTCAAACTATTCAGATACGTGGTTGATTTCTTGGTTCTTCTAAATTGTAACCCTTATATGTTCCACTTGATTGCGACTCAAACGATAGGTGTGTTTGAAGATTGTTTAAAGCCTCTTGTGTTGACACATGAAATGCCCACGAATGACAAGTTACACTTTTTGGATGTAAGACTGTTTTTCAGCTCACAGCACATCTGTTGGTGTTATGAACCACGTGCGCAGAAAGCTTTACTTCCTTTTTCTTCCTCTCACAGCAAGTTAGTTAAGCGAGGCATAGCACGAACCTGTCTTGAGAATGCCTTAAATAGGTCGTGCTCCCACAATTTCTCCGCGAGCTTCAAAGCTCAAGTTTCCCGGCTCAAGGCTTCGGGTTTCCCCGAGGCGTTTATCGCTTCCGTTGCTGAGACTATCCTGCGGACAAATGAGGCAGAGCAGAGGCAGCGACAGAATCCGAGCAACACGGATACAGAGCGTGAAAAGATAGCCGTACGTGATTACATACAAACACCAGATATCACACAGGCTCAAGAAAATCGGAAAACGAGTTGGAGTTCGTGTCCTGTTCTCGCCACCGTTCAAATTAATCAGCCTCACCAAATCTACAAACCGCTTGAAAACGCTGTCATCAACGGAATGCAGAGTACAACATAGAAACAGGTATGCGGCATGCTCCCGGGAAGTTGTCTATAGGACCCCCCCCCCCCCCCCCCTTTCATGCGGTGCTTGTGATGTCGGAACAACCTGAAGGTGTCTGAACGATCGACTGCGAGAACACGCCAACAATGTTAGAAACGGAAATATGGTTTTCTTGCTCAGCATTGCACAGAGTGCAACTGTGTGCCCCTTTTCAAGGACACAGCTGACGCTGTACAAGCACAAAGATGAGAGCACCCGAGTCACTGTCGAGGCCGCGCAGATGGCGCGCGAACAGGTGTCCTGCCTTAGCAAGGCCTCCGTGTCTCCGTCCGAGAATGAACTAAGGTTCCACGAAGGGTTCGGTGCGCGCAAGTAGTTATATTATCTTCACTTTTCTGTTTCGTTTCTTTAAAGACTTTTCTTTGCCCTTTTCTGTTCTTTTGTTTTTCTCTTACTCATGTTTTGCTCTTTGTGCCATATGATTTTTGTCACATGGTTACTGTCTCCCTATATATTTTCGTGCTCTGCGCAATAAACTCAGTTGGAAGTTAGCGCTCGAGTCCTTCTTGTCTCTGTGTCGTCGTTTTGTTCTCGCGCTATACCTATCGTCATGCCATACCAACTAG